CCCTCCCTCTACAGGACAGGACAGCATAGTGTTCTTCAGGCCACCGAAACTCGAAACTTTATGGTTAGCATTGACTCATTTATTACATTGTCTGACTCAGAAGCCACATTTTTCTCATGTTTTCTTTCTACCATCTTTAGTCACCTATATGAATTGTATACATTCTATATCCTCAAACTGTATACAACTTAAATTTAGGATGTTTAATTTTTGTATGTATGCAGAAGGTACTAAAAATATTGATAAACTGACCACACTGCAGTCATCAAATAGCAACATTCTGTTATAAGACAGACATAATAACATTCCTGTTACTGTATGGATCTAGCCTGACATGACAAAAGCCACTCTAGAAATAATTGCCATGGTCACCCCAGAATAGGCCTAGTTGGTCTTTCCTGTGTAGCATCCAAGCAAACTATAAACAAACTCATTACAGAGGCATGTGGAGCTTTACAACAGTACCCAGATACCAGGAATGTGATATCAGTTTAAGATAAGCTAGATGTGTTCCAAGTAGCAAATCTTTTGAACTGACCAAATATGTCCCATTGTGCTTTCTACCACCCAGAACACATTTCTGATAATAAATTCTCCAATAAACTGCACTTGATGCAATTCTGGGCTGCCTTATTTCTTCAGTCTCATGACACACTGGAACCAAGTTGTTCTCAAATAGCTATGGAAGGATTTTCTGTAAGAAATACTCAAATAAAAGGCTTTTCAGTTATGCCTATATCAAATAATTTCTCCCCTGCAATATTTTTATGGCTTACAACTCACACCTATTTCCAAAACACGCTTGAGCTGATAAGCACAGAAAGTAAACATGACACCAACTTAGCAAAATAGAGATTTAAAGAGCAAAGGTTGTAGGATATTCCAAGATGAGAAGTTATACTGGAGGCTTCAACTGAGGAATAATAATTGTTGCAATCAGAGGAGATTTTAATATGCCATCAGGAAATGATGAAGAATTGCTGTGGGATAATGCTCTTGTATACTGGTTTAATAAAACGCTGATTGGTCAGTAGCCAGGCAGGAAGTATAGGCGGGGCGAGTAGACTAGGAGAACGCTGGGAAGAGGAAGAGCAGAGGAGGAGTTGCCAGCCAGACATAGAGGAAGCAAGATGATAAGGCAGAACTGAGAAAAGGTACCAAGCCACATGGCTAAACATAAATAAGAATTATGGGTTAATTTGAGTGTAAGAGTTGGTCAGTAATAAGCCTGAGTTAATGGCTGAGCAGTTATAATTAATATAAGCTTCTGAGTGATTATTTTATAAGTGGGCTGTGAGACTGCGGGGTCAGGTGGGACCAGAGAAAACTTTTGACTACAAAGACTGTTTAATCTCTATTAAATAGGAATTTTCTAAGTCAAGCCTCTGATAGAAAACAAATATTCTCACAGAAGTCAGAAATAGACCTAAATACCTGGTATATAAGAACATTGGTTTGCTCTGATTTCAAAGCTTTAGACAACAGGCAAGTCCAAAGCCAATAATTTATAATAATAAAAAAAAATGAATCTGGCTGGGTATGATGATGTCCACCTATAAACCCAGTTCCTGGTAGGCAGACAGAAGGGCTAAGAGTTAAAAGCCAGCTAGGCTACACAGAGATTTCCTTTCTCAAAAGAAAAAGGAAATGAATCAAATAGACACCAAAGCTCATTTGGGGGAAGTCACAGGGCACTCAGGCTATGTCTACTTTCTTCTCAACAGTAGTTTTGATTTAGCTTGTATGTGTGAACAAACACTTGGAAATCCAGAGTGCAACTTGGGACACAATTGAGCAGGAAACTGTAATCTTGTATCATCCTTACAAAGGTGTAATTTAAGGGCTCATAGAAACACTTAAAATAAAATATGATACTGAACTGAAACGTAGTACCAAGAAGACCATATCACTGGTTATCATGAGGACTGAATTATAAAAGCAGGTGAGTCTATAAGAAAATTATATCAAATCAATTATATGTTAATGAGTAGCAGAAAGGGCACATAAACTGGCATATGCATGTCCATAGTCACAGCTACTTGGGATGCCAGGGTAAGAAGATCACTCAAGATCCTGAATTAGAGACTAGTCTGGAGAAAATAAAAAAGAAAAAGAAAAAAAAAGCAAGACCTTGTCTCAAACAAAACAACACAAGAGTAGGAGGAAGAGGGAAAACAAGATTACTGTCACTGACTAAGCATATCACCTGTGTGTAATCAACAGAAAGAGTACTTGCCTAGAGTATTCACTGACTAGTGAACTAAAGCCTTCACTAGTGAAGCCTTTAGTTCCATCCCTAGCACAGAAAAGAAACAACATAAGGCTAAGAGTGGGTATACACAATTTGTAAAAAGTCTTAAATTCTCCCGCTGAAGAATGACCAGTTGCAGCGTTTGACCTCTATTATAAGAGTACAGCATAAAGCAACTGGAGCATGGCTGCTCTTCTGAGCTATTTTGACCCGTATTATTGTTAATTACACTCATCAAAAATAAGACCACTACCACAATTTAAAGCCAAATTGGAAGCAAGCTTTAATTAAATACTGGCCAGTGGATGGGCTCTGGCCAGGTTCATACCTGGTTTCCCAGGGAATGGCCCTGAATCAAGTTTCTCAACCACTTAAGAAGGAACCCGCTGGGAGGTGGTGGCACAGGACCTTAATCCTAGCACTAGAGAGGCAGAGGCAGGCAGACCTCTGTAAGTTCAAGGTCAGCATGGTCTACAAAGGGAGTTCAGGACAGCCAGGACTACAAAGAGAAACCCTGACACACACACACACACACACACACACACACACACACACACACACACACACACACGAAGAAGAAGAAGGAAAACTCATAATTCTCTGTATTTCCCATTAGGTCCAATCAGGGGCAAGCATACATTCTGATGTACCTCCAGCCTACATCCTATTAGGGACAAGCATACACCCTGATGTGTTTCCTGCCTGGGAATCTCCTGCCCATGTGTGACCAAGCACATGCAGATGGGTCAAACAAATTTGTTTAAAGGAGTGAAAACATTTGGCTTGTTATCTCCCATAAACAATAGCCTCCAGCACTTCAGGAACTATCTGTCCTTGGGGATTGCAAATCATTTTTGTTTCATGGATCTACTATGGATAGTAATTAAAACTTAAAATGTAACTTTGACTCTCACCTTCTCCCCTTGAGTTGTATCCTGAGTCAAATCCTTGACTCTGTAATGGGTACCTGTTTATATTGGGATCATAACCATCAGCTTAATGGTACCCAGATAGAAATTGTCATTTAGTTAAAGCATCAATGATGCAAAAGCCCATAGCAATTAGTAGAAGCAGAAGGGCCAAAGGCCGTATGATGGCTGATATCAGAATTACTATCTAGAAGGATCTGGAAATGAGAACGGGAACCAGTTATTTAGTTAATCTCAGGTCCCGTTTTTGCAATGATTTTTTTTAAGTACAGCTAGAATTATTTCTAATGATTCCTGAGTAGTTTATATAGAAACTAGAATTTTCTATTAAAGCTATAAAATAACTTTTGTTTTACATAGAGCAGGTTGAGTGTCCTATCATATTGTAGAACTATTTCAGCTAATGAATCTACCTATTGATAGATCTCAATCTATTTGGTTTTAACAGGTGCCTTTCCTGGTATGCCAATAGGCACTATAGGTTGCTCCTCCCCTATGTCAGGGAGTATCCTTTTGACCTAACATTCCAGCCTGTTGGGGGGCAAGGGGTGACATACTCTCTTCTGTAACTACTTCCTACTGAAAGTAGGGCATTGTTGTTAGAGACCTGGAAGGCTGGAATGCTAGGCGATGGCTGGGAGAGAATTCAGGCAATGGGGTATTTATCAGAAGCATCTGGTTTACTGACCCAGATGAAGAGATGGGGAATATTCACATTGGCTGGACTCGTGCACATCAGCTTTCAGCAAGTCCAGAGCTTGCAGTCATTTGGAGCAGGTTGTAGTCAGCAGCTAATGCTTGGATGGTATCTGTCAGCCAAGTGGAAATCTGCTGACATATATCTGTATCTATATCTATGTCTATGTCTATGACTATGTCTATGTCTATGTCTATGTCTATGTCTATGTCTATATCTATATCTATATAGAGATAGAGATAGATAGATAAATAGATAAATGATAGATAGAATGATAGATGGATGGATAGGTAGATAGATAGATAGACAGATTAGGTACAGAAGTTAAATTTTAGGAATTTAAGGGAAAATCTTTCATTTGGAATGTTCAGGTCCATAGTCCTAATTGTTGGGAGAGGGGAGGAGTCCCAAGAACAGGAAAGAGAGAGAGATTTCCATCCTCAGGAATAGACAGGTGGGGAAACTTAGGCTGTACTTATCTGGAGTCCTATTGATCTGTAAAAGATGGGTCCAAGTCTTATGACACACAAAACTCAAAGAACCCCAGCTAGATTTATCCAAAACATAGTAAGGCACATTATAGTTAAAATGTGAACAGTTTTAAAACAAACAAAGAAAACCCCATACAACAATAACAAAAACCCATGTGGTGATTTGAAAGAAAATATTTCCAAAGGGAGTGGCACTATTAGGAGGTGTGGCTTTGTTGGAGTGGGTGTGGCCTTGTTGGAGAAAATATATCATTGTGGCTTTGAGGTTTCATATGTGCTCAAACCACACCCAATGTCTCAGACCACTTCCTGTGATTCAAGATATAGGACTCTTATATACTTCTCCAGCATGATGATAATAGGTGATAATAGACTAAACCTATGAAAAATGTAAGCCACCCCAATTAAATGTTTTTCCTTTATAAGTTTTTATGGATATGTTATCTCTTCACAGCAATTCCTAAATTTTAACTTCTGTTCTCTCTCTCTCTCTCTCTCTCTCTCTCTCTCTCTCTCTCTCTCTCTCTCTACACACACACACACACACACACACACACACACACACACACACACGTCAACAGATTTCCACTTGGCTGACAGACACCATCTGAGCATCAGCTGCTGACTACAACCTGCTCCAAATGACTGCAAGCTCTGGACATGCTCTGGACTTGCTGAAAGCTGATGTGGACCAGTCCAGCCAATCTGAAACCTGAAACCTGAAACAGCAAGAGAAAGTGTCAAGTCATATATAAAGAATGTTCCAGTCCATCAGCTTACAGATTTCTCACTAGAAACAAGCCAAAAGAGAAGGATCATGTATCCTAAGTCCTAAAAGCAAAATATGGCAAACAAGAACACTCTATCTAGTAAAGTCATCCTGCAATGAAGAAGAAATAAAGCCTTTCACAGGTAAGCAAGGATTGAAGAATTTCAGCCTGGATTACGGCAAATATGTACTAAGAGGGAAATTTATATTAATAGGTCTATATATCTCAAACAAGCAACCACTCTCCCCAAAGAAAACAATCAAGGAAAAACAATCAAGAAAAACTTAAAGGCACAGGAAATCCCTTTCTCAACAAGACCATGGGAAAGTAGGCATTCAAGCAGCACTTAAGGGACTATACTAGAAGAAAAACTATGATACCACCCGCAGGATAACACATGAATATGCAAGACTTTCTAGAAAGCTAAGTAAACAAAAGAGACAGAACCAAATCTTAACATGATATTACAAACCACAAAATCACAAAGGTAAATAATAAAAGAGAAATAAAGGAACAAAATTATATTAAAAACAAGCAGAAGACAATTTAATGATGATAGGAGAAAGATGATCAATAACAGTCTTAAATGGAAATGTGTTAAATTCACCAGTGAAAAGCCACATAGATATTGGTGAAATTATTAAGGCCACTCCATGTAGTTAAAAGGAAGATTTATTTAGTGGGTAACTTACAAAAAAGGGAAAGGTAGGTCGTGGGGTCTGGGGAAGGTGTATCGCAGTCCAGCGGTGTTCTCTGGAGCTCTGCTTGGTCAACCTCCACTGTCTAGGGTCCAGGAACAGAGAGCGCGCTGGCCCATCCAGATCTCGGGTCTCTCCTTGCCTCATCTTCTTCCTAGACATCCATAAGACATGAGAAGAGCCTGTGTGATATAGAGATCCATTTAGAGCTAAGCACTTGGACTTATTCTCTGCACATCTGTCAGTTGTGGGTGCCTGTGTCATCTGCTGCAAAAAAGAAGCCCCTCTAATGAAAGCTGAAAGATGCTCTTATCTATGGTATAATGATAAGTCATTTGGAATCATTTTAGATTCCAAATGTAATTTAGCAGAATAATAGTGATAGGTTCTCCCCTAAGGCCTATGACCTGTCTAGCCCCAAATTCTTGGCCTCGGTAACAGTGTCAGTTATGAGTTCAGTCTTCTGGCATTGTTCTTAAGTCCAATCGGAAAGTGGTTGGTTATTCCTTAACTTTTGTACCACAATTGCTCTAGGGGGAATATCCTGCCAGGGTGGTCATTATTGTAGTTCACAGGGTTTACGCTGGATATAGCCCCTGAAAGGCCACTTATGCTCCAGCAGATAGCCTTATAACTATGCACATACTGATAGCACTAAACGGGCTCAGCGAGTCTCATTTAAAAAATCAGAAATAAGGCTGTGGTGGCACATGCCTTTAATCCCAGCACTCGGGAGGCAGAGCCAGGCAGATCTCTGTGAATTTGAGGCCAGCCTGGTCTACAGAGCGAGATCCAGGATAAGCACCAAAACTACACAGAGAAACCCTGTCTCAAAAACAAACAAACAAAAAACATATATATATATATATATATATATATATACATATACATACATACATATATATATATAATGTGTCTACATATAACATATGTATGGATAAATTCCTGCTCAAAGTACTTTATATGCATGTATGAAGTGTCATAATAAAATCTATTACTTGGTATAATTAGTATTTACACATATATTTAATAATCAGTATGGTTAGGGCATCATCAAATCAGAAGAGACATGAGAATGTGTGGTAGATGGTAGCTTCTGAAATAGTCCCTCTGTTCCCTATACCACTTGGTATCATACCCAAGTGTATTCTACTGTAGTCTGGACCTACTGTCTGACTTCCAATAATAGAACATAGCAACTGTGATGAGATCTCACTCAGAGAGTCAGATATAATCTACCTTGCTTCTTCTCTGCTCCTCCTCCTCCTTCCCCCTCCTCTTCTCTGCCCTCTCTCCTCTTTCCCTCTCAGCAGCCATTATTTCTTTTGTGGCCAACAATGAGTAACTGAGACCCTTGGGCTAATAGCCCACAAGTATCTGAACCTTGCCGACAGTCATCTATATGAGTGCAGAGGTAATCTTTCCCTTCGAGTCTTGATTTGGCTATAGCCTTGGCTGACGATGTCATGAAAGCCTCATAAGGGACCCTAAGACAGAAGACATGGCTAAATTCTGTCCAATTTCTCACCTACAGAAACTGTATCATAGCATATATTATTGTTCTAATCTGTTTAGATCATTCGTTAGGAAGTGATGAGTAATTAACATGTTTCTCTCAAGTTCTGCAAAGTATAAGGCATTACCAGATTTCAGCATAGTCAACTAAACTCTCTGTGTTTTCTCTGCCATTATTCACCTTAAATTCTGGAAGTTCCAAACACCAGGCTTCAAGAACATATACAAAAGTAGTGCCCTTCGCTGGGCAAAGCCCAGACCCTGCCAGTCCAGACCGTTTTGTCCGCTCGAGCGTTTACTTAGCTCCTCGGTCCAATTCTTCCCCGTAGTTTCTGCACAGCAAATGCCCTTTGCTTCTGCTTCTACATTTTTCTAGCTTTCATCTTAGACTTCTTCCCTTCCAACAAAATTTATTTTTAACATGCCCTAAAATAGAACAGGTCCGGCAATTCCAAAATGACTGCTCAGCTTCAAGGACTGTCTGTGATCCTCAAGGTTCCTAATCCCACTGGACCACTGGAGTGGAAGGGACATGGAAGTCCATGTTTTTGTCTCTGTCCTTTTTATGTGCCCTGTACTCCTCCCTCAGGAGCAGATCACTCAGACCAACTCTCATGAGTCTAGTGATTTTCAACAGGGAAGGAAGGTCCCTCCTCCAAATGGATACATTACACCCACACATCCCAGGGGGCTGTATGGAAAAAGCCCACAGGATACCACCAAACTAAATAACTTTTAAGTTTTCCTATTTAAAAATTTTAGGAAGTTGTGATGACAATGGATGTATGACGAAGGAGATATGTAGATAGCCTTATGAAGTGGGATTACTCCTGGAAAATTTTAGGTCTGTTATAATTAGTTTTAGGGGACATGGCTTAAACATTATGAAATCGAAATTTAACAGTGTTTTAGAAATGAAAGGATAATTACATATGTCAAAGACTGTGTAGTATAGTATTAATGCATCATTGTAACTAAATGCGCCATAAGTCATGCTTTGTATTTTTACCCAGAAAGTGCTACAATACATAAGCAGATTCTGCCACCTGGTGGTAACTGAAGAATCCTACATCATGGGAGATAACTCACAAAACTGCTGAAGAGAAGAACTTACCAACATAAACAGTATGGACAAGATTGTTTTAAAACCTATGGCGATGGCATATCACCATATGTATATAAACAAATATGTGACACGTGTATTTTTAAAGAAGAAACTCAAAAGTCTGTTTCAAAGCCTTAAAATAGGCCTTGGTAAACCATTTCTTTCCTGTGGTTCTATTACAGGAGCAGTAATTCTAGAGACCCACAGCAGAAGAGTGCACTTGTATTAAAGGTACAAGGATAATACTGTTGCTTTGGAAAAGAAACTACAAAGCTAATTAAGCAAAACAAACTGGAGTCTCTTTCCCTCAAACTCGGTAGCATCCTTTAGACTTACACAGGCTCATTGGTTTAATAGAATTGCAGTGTCACATAATGAAGGAGGCTCTGATTGCCTCCATGATAATTCATCGTGTATCCTTTCAAGCTATGGGTGCCATGGCCTACCTCACCTTGGCAAGCTGAGATTTTGATTAGGTCCACTGGAATCTGGCAATGTATGTGCAGTCTGAAGATATGACCAGTGACTCCAGGTTAACTCTAGTCAAACGTGACTGGTTTGCATTACTAACATGCTTGGTGCATTATCCAGGAACACCCTGTTGAAGGATATGAAAGAGCCCACTAAGGAGGGAATAAAAGAAAACCAATCTCTAGTTCAAATGCTGCCGAAGTTTCCTCAGCTGGTATTGTAAGGTCACACTGCTCAGCTCCTGCAGCCCTGATTACAAGTGTGCATATTCTTTGATTACACCAAGGAAATCTACAGATACAGTCATACGTGCCAGAAATTATGTTTGTTAAAATGTAATTGTGGAAGTATTATCTACAAATAGCAAGAGATTAGAGGCAATTCAGTATTCATCAGTAGCATACTGACATGATGGTGCAAGCCTTTAATGCTAGAACTTGGAAGTCAGAAGCCGGTGAATTTCTCAGTTCGAGGCCAGCCTAGTCTGTAGAGAAAGAAGTTTCAGGATAGCCAGGGCTACACAGAGAAACCTTGTCTTGAAAAGAAGTTCATCTGTATGGAAATACTTAAAAATGATATATACAGAATGGAATTATGGAGAAAGAGACATGACCAAGGCTCTGTAATAAAACCTGAGATGAACTAAGTGATTAAAAATATTTGGGTGGTGTGCTGTATTTTTATTGAAAGGTTAAATATTTATATATGCATAGATATGTTTAAGAAGCTATCAGAAAACAAACCTCTGCACCACAAAATTTACACTGACTGATACTGTTTCGGGGTGAAGGTCAGAAAATGCTGGGAGAAGGAGACTTTTTGTAACACACTCTGCCATGTTTTGAATAATCTGGATTTACTGACAACTGAAAAAAACATATATACAATTACCCCTTAATTTTCATGATGCTAATTACCGGACCCTGTGAATACTAGTCACAGATGTTTGCATGCCTTTTAAAATTGTGTTATATTTACATATAACTTACGTATACCTTCATATATACCTTAAATCATCTCTAGATTACTAATGATTAACAGAATATAAATGAAATGTAAATTATTATACTTTATTGTTTAGGGAATTGTGAGAAGAAATTTGTCTGCACGTGTTTGGTATTGATTTAATTCTTTAGCACATATTTGCAATCTGAGATATGATGAATCCTTGCATGTGTAACCAACAGACATGAAGAATTAATTTTTGTATACAACTTTTAAATTAGAAATATAAGATAATTTTATATGGTACAAGCAAGCAATGTTGGGGGAAAGAAAATTTATTCTTAAAACACTATGCTACAGCTGGGTATGTCGTGTTGTAGAAAAGTCTCTGCTTGGTATTCGAGCATCTCGGCTTTCAGCAGCACCATGGCGGGGGGGGGGGGGATAATAATAAAAGAAGAGGAGCTGTTTTAGGAGTCACACTTGGACAGATGAAATTATGACTCAGAGGCACACTGTGTCTGAGTCAGTGGGACACAGTTTACTCAACAGCCATATGTACGATGTCTTGCTGAAGCTTCACCTTCACATCTGGCTGTAAGACCTTCTAGACCAAGTTCCTATCTTCCTGCCACATAACACCTTTGAGCTTAACTATTTAAGTTCTTTTTTAATTTAAAGTATAATTACATCATTTCTCCCCCATTCTTCTCACTCTTACCCCTCCCGTGCCCAGCTCCTCCCTTGTCTCTCTTTTCTTCTTCTTCT